ATAATAAATGCTGGAGGAAGTGGAGAAATGGGAACCCTCCGATGGGAATGTAAACTGGTACAGGCACTATTGGAAAACAGTATAGAGGTTCCTCAAAAAACTAAAAATAGAGTTACCATATGATCCAGCAATCCCACTCCTGGGCATATATCCAGACAAAACTATAATTTAAAAAGATACATACACCCCTATGTTCACAACAGTATTATTTACAATAGCCAAGACATGGAAACAACCTGAATGCCCATCGACGAATGGACAAAGAAGATGCGGTGTGTATGTGTGTGTGTATAATTGTGTATATATATATGTGTCTGCATATATATATATATATATATATATACACATATATATATATATATATATATACACACAACGGAATTTTATTCAGCCTTAAAAAAGAATGAAACAATGCCATTTGCAGCAACGTGGATGGACCTAGAGATTATCATACCAAGTGAAGTTAAGTCAGAAACAGACAAATCCCATATGATATCACTTATACGTGGAATCGAAAATATGACACAAATGAACATATCTATGAAACAGAAATAGACTCACAGATAAAGAGAACAGACTTGAGGTTGCCAAGGGGGAGGGGGGGACAGGGGAGGGAAGGATGTGAGTTTGGGATTAGCAGATGCAGACTATTATATATAGGATGGATAAACAACAAGGTCCTACTGTGTAGCACAGGGAACTATATTCAGTATCCTGTGATAAACCATAATGGAAAAGAATATGAAAAAGAATGTGTACATATGTATAACTGAATCACTTTGCTGTACAGCAGAAATTAACATAACACTGTAAATCAACTATACTTCAATAAAATTAAAAAAAATAAAATAGAATAAAACCTCCTTAGGTGATTCTGATAGAGGGCGGGACATCCCGACATCCAATGAAGGAGCTTCATGGAAGTAAGGTTCTAAAAAAAAGGAGCATGAGGCTGAAAAGGAGGTTAAAATGGCACATAATATTTCTGATGCAGAAAATAAAATGACTGTTCTGAATGTTAAAAAGGATACAGTCAAAGGCAATGAAAAGATGATTTGAGCAAAGGACAAAACAACTAGAGAAAAGGGTTCTTCGTCCTGAGATCAATAATTATTTCCGCCAGACGACAGCCCTGCTATGTGTCTCATGATCATATAGGTGCACACTCTTCACCATCTTCATGGAGACAAGGCCGATGACAAAGTTATCTCTGGGGATTTAGTCTCAAAAACAGATTAGGTAGTAAAGATCTAACATGCCAATTACCAGAGTGGTAGTTTCTAAATGCCATAATGTAAAGCATTTATTATAAACAAGCAAAAAACAACTGGCAGATCGTTCAGATAAAAATCAGTTCATACAGTGGGTTAAAAAAATCAGTTTTTAAAGACGACATTCAAAATCCATCAAGTCGGTAAGTGTGTCCATGAATTAGCACCTAAAACTAGGGTAACCACATAATTTATTATTCAGAACAGGACACTTTTGAGTGAAAGAGGCTCTTAACAAGTACACCAGGAAAACAGGTGTAGACCAGAATGTCCCAGGTTCATCCCAGGCAAACCAGAATGGATATCTCCCTAATGGTAATACCTCTTTGAACATTAATAAACCTAACGATAATCATCTATACTAACCACAATGTTCCAAAGAGGAATTGATGGTAATTACAAAGTTAGAAACCACAGATGGTATTAATCCAAGTTCCTTTTTCTCTCCACCCATGTTCTTAGTGTGAAACATCAAATGACACTTTTATAATTACTTGGCACAGCAGTAATTAATACTGATCTTGGAACTTAGTAAAGCTCTACAACAATTTGTAGACCACATTGGATTCTCAATCTAGTCTTTACTCTGGAATTCATGCAGTGAGCACTATTTCACCAGCTACCTTACCACTACCACCAAGACAACAGGCTCTAACTTGGACAAACTGGCAGAAGAAATTTTAATTTTTTTTGTTTTAAGATATAGTATACTTCTATATGGATCTTGAACCTCTAGTGAAATAGTATCTTGATTATGAAACGAAGAGCCATTTCGTTGGCTTTCTAATATGAAAGGGTTTGGTTTTTCTTTTCTATTTCAACAAATATTAGGGTTCTACAGTATGCCATGCTTTGTCTAAATGATAGATTAAGCAGAGGAGAAAGAGACCAAATGACTGTCAATCCAATGAAAAATATTGTTTAGTCACTTGTAATCTATGAGACTACTGGTTCACAAACCAGACTGCACTTTATAATTATTGGGGGGGAGCTCTAAAAAAAATCTTGTGGGGGCTTCCCTGGTGGCGCAGTGGTTGAGAATCTGCCTGCCAATGCGGGGGACACGGGTTCGAGCCTTGGTCTGGGAAGATCCCACATGCCGCCGAGCAACTAGGCCCGTGAGCCACAATTACTGAGCCTGCGCGTCTGGAGCCTGTGCTCCGCAACAAGAGAGGCCGCGATAGTGAGAGGCCCCGTGCACCGCGATCAAGAGGGGCCCCCACTTGCCGCAACTAGAGAAAGCCCTCGCACAGAAACGAAGACCCAACACAGCCATAAATAAATAAATAAAATTTAAAAAAAAATCTTGTGGCTTGCCACATAAAAATCTGTACACAAACGTTCACAGTACAACTATTCAAAATAGCCAAAAAATGGAAAGAGACCAAATGTGTATCAGTTGATGAACGGATAAACAAAATGTGGTATATATACATATAATGGAATAGTTTTCAGTAATAAAAAAGAATGAAGCACTGCTACCTGCTACAACATGTACCTTGAAAACAGTAAAAGCTAAATGAAAGAAGCCAGACACCAAATACCACATATTATATAATTCCATTCATACAAAATGTCCAAAATAGCAAATCTATAGAGACAGAAAGCAGGTTAGTGACTGTCTAGGACTGGAGATTTGGGGGAGGAATGGAGAGTAACTGCTAATGAGAACAGATTTTAGGGTGATAAAAACGTTATAAAACTGACTACAGTCATCAGAGAAATGCAAATAAAACCACAATGAGATATCAGCTCACACCCCTTTGGATGGCTATTATCAAAAAGACAAGCAGTAACAAGCATTGGTGAACGTGTGGAGAAAAGGGAACCCTTGTACCCTGTTGGTGAGACTGTAAATTGGTACAGCCATTATGGAAAACAGTATGGAGGTTGCTCAAGAAATAAAAAATCGAACTACCATATCATCCAGCAATCCCACTTCCAGGTATATAACTAAAGGAAATCAAATCAGGATCTCAGAGACATTATATCTAATGTTAGAATTGCAGCACTCCTTAAGTGTGATACCTGGAGTACATACCCAATCAATGGCATCTTTCCTGCCAATCTCCATGGCACGTGTGCAATCTTCACGTCTAGGACTCTGACACAACTTTCCCTTCAACACCTCAGCACCCTGGCTGGGAAGGAGCCTCACTTAGAATTGCAGTTTGGCAGTGCTGATCTTCCTCCAAACTTGGAGCAGGCCTGACCTCCTGCAAATTGGCTGGCTGGCTGATATCCTGCTTTATGTTAGAGAATCTACCTTGTAATATTCCACATTGTCGCTTGCCAGACACTGTGGACCGTCACTGCCTGGACACACTGCTCCTGAAACTCTTACCTGCTTGAATGTTGACACTGGCCTGGGCAAGCCAGAGATAGCCCCAACTATCCACTTGGATACGACCTGTGATTGCTGGTCCCTGCAGCTCCCTCAGGCATGAGTGTGACATTTCTGGATTTATCTCCTTTTTCTGCTGGCTGGCCAGTAAGGTTACAGCACTACCTCTGTTAATATAAAACATTTATGGTCTTATGGAGTATTGAAACATTGCTTAAAAAGTGTTATTTTTAAAATTTAAAGAGTAAATCCCAACTAATTCTATTTGGAGATACGTTTGAGAATTTCACTGTATGTTAATATTTCTGGAAGGATGGAGGAATCAGACTACATCATATTCTAACTCCATCAAGGTGGGGAATCACGGGGCTAAAGCATGAGTGACCCAAAAGTATAGCAACCAACCGCTCGTCATCAACTTGGGGAGACTTAATTGACTGTGTCCAGGGCTCACTGTTAGGGCCATTGTAAGAAATGATCTAAAAGGGACCTTCCCTGGCAGCCCAGTGGTTAAGACTCCGCACTTCCACTGCAAGGGGCGCAGGTTCCATCCCTGGTCGGGGAACTAAGATCCCGCAAGCTGTGCAGTGCAGTGCAGCTAAAAAAAAAAAAAAAAAAAAAAAAAAAAAAAAAAAAAAACAAAAAAAAAAATAAAAAAGGGCGTAAAA